GTTTTCTCGCCGGTGGTCATCCACGATCAGAGTGGCAAGATACGATCCCCTCCTCATCTGATTACCTTGTTGCTTGACCTGTCGACTGTCTCCTTTGATTTCTTTCTTCCGGGAACACCCTCCCTTGACAGCTTGCATTATCCTTTCCGTCCGTCGTTTGCCATCAACGATGCCCAACTTTCGGCTTTTTTTTTTTTCTTTCTTTTGCCACACTGCCCCTCCGAACGTCACCCTTTCCTTCCTCACGCCCCCCTCTCTCTCTCCAGGCTCCTCCACTCTCGTCTTGGGCTTTCTCTCTTTCTCCTCTTCCCAACCACGTCCGTAACTTGCCTCGTATGCCATGACGATGACGACAGAGTGACCGAAAACTGGTAAATTCTCTCGTGATACAAAACCTCTTTCCCCTCCAACATCATTCAACTACGTCCAAGTTCATTCCCCCCTCCCTCCCTCTGATTCTTGTTCACCCTCCTTCCTCCTTCTTCCCCCTCCTTCTTCCCCACCTTCGCCCTCCCTTTCGGGCTCTTCCCAAGTCTTTCCGCTCCCTTCGGCTTCCCTTCTTAAGAACGTGAGTTGAGCACATACCGTTGGAAAGGTTCGACCTCCTTCTGACCCTTTCTCACTCCACTTCTTCCCCAAACCATCCTCCCTCCCTTCCGTACCCTCACCTTCTCCGATCAACGACTTTCCTAGAAGATCACAACACAGATCCAATCGCGGCCGGAGCGAAGGGGAGGAAAAAGAGCAAGACTCTGATTCGGGCCTCGGTTCATTCTTACTGCTCCGCCTCCTTCGGACAGCCCAATCAAAGCCACATGCAAGGTCATATAAAGAATAAATAAATAAATCAAAAGGAGGAGGAGAAGAAAAAGAAAAGTGGGAAGTGAATTTGCCACCTTCACTTTCGTCCCAGGACCATCACAGATATCCACATTCTCGCACAAGCTCCTTCCTTCCTTGTATGTACAAGTCCGGGTCCTCGTTCTCTCTCTCTCCCTCTCTCTCTCTCCCTCTCTTCCCTCTGTGCTTGCCTCTCGCTCGCCGCATACATCATCGCACTCGCATTCAGCCACCAAGCTGGAGAGGCCTTGCTCTTCTCCTTCCGCTTCTTCGACATTGCACTCGAAGCCCAAATCCACTTATCTCAAGATCAAGCTCGAGCTCCAAGTCAATTCTCGATCCGGCATTCCTCGACTTTCTCCACCTTCCTTGCCCTCTCATCTTCCTCAACCCCTGTTCCCTCGGAGTCGGAATCGCCAGCTCTAGTGGGGAAACGGTCCGGAAAACTCTTCTTCCGAGGGTAATCGAAAGAGGACCGGTTATCATCGGGAAGGCTGCCTTCGACTCGTGGGCCCAACTTGATCAAATCTTCCTGCTCACACAGGGGGTCACTCTATCGCTGCTCCTCTTTCGCGAGCCTCCAGAAGGCTTCCTTGGTCCGGCTCGAAGACTGGGTCCAGTCGCAGCTTCGTATAAACTTAACGATAATCTTCCCAAATTCTTCACAAACTCACGCCCCGCCACCTCCCGGGACCGCAGCGAGGACGAAGGGGAAGTCTCTCTCTCTCAGCCAGCATAAAGGAAATCGAGGAACTCTTAGAAGTACTTCAACTCTTTGGTCTGATTTTTAAGGCATCCAGGAGACAAAACGAGACAAGGCCCACTCTCAGCCAAACGAAACATCCCTTTTTTCTTCCAGTGCTGAACCAGCGCTCTCTCAAAAAACGAAAGAAGAAGTAGAAACTAAAGATCTGTCAACACATTGCGAGACATCGGGTTCGCGGAGGAAGTTCGACATTCTCCCCGTCCGTCCAAGTCGGCAATCATGTTCCCGACCACTCCTAAGAAAAACCGTTCCTCAAGTTCGACTCCAGGTCCCAGGTATTACCCTGACTCGATTTCGGCATCTACCAGATCCCTAGATCCATCTCGTGATCTTCAGGGCACGTCTTCAACCAGGGTCGTGCCATCGCGGCCGTTCACCGCGGCGGTTCCGGGATGGTGCGACCCTTCCCTGACTTCTCCGAGGCACCGTTCGGTTTCTTGTGACTCGACCCTGGACCTTGATGTTGACGAAGTGGAAGAGGTTTTATGCACCCCGCTTCCAACGGCCTTTGATATTTCCAGCCAGCCCACGCTCTTGAGGTCAACCTCGCTCGATTTCGGCATTGGCAGTAAGATGAATGCAGGCTCGGATGGCTTCAGGAGCACAAGTCAAGAGAGTCTGCGCTCGGAAACGAGCCGTCTTTCCATCATGAGCGCTTTGGAACCTTCAAGGGCGGACGACCTACCAGGTGCCAAAGCGAGGAAGGTGCTTGGTCTGGACCAGGATGACTACGAGCTCGGCCCCGGATCGGATCCTCAACTTACCCCAAGGAAGAATTCTGGATCGATTCACGCAAGGGGCTCTCCATTCCTGAAGAAGTGTCTTGGTCAGGGGAGGATGGGTGCGAGTCTGGGCTCGTCTTCGCCAGGCCTTTTGAAGGCAAGCAAATTCCCCTTTCCTTTGCCCTTCGGTACGCGAAGAAGCAGCACCAGCGTGGTCAATAAATCGGACATCATGCCCGGATCAGCTAGCACAACCAGGCAAAGCTTCTTCCCAAGCTCTCCTGCCAGCAGCAAGTCCAGGCCACTTTCGCCAGAGATTCAACAGGCAGCTATCAGAAACGGCCCTCCCGGGTCGCCTTCCCCTTCGTCGGCTTCCTCGGCTCACACCTCATTCTCCTTCGCATCGTCCAACTGGAAGTCCTCATCAACATCCCCCGAGATTCAAGCAGTCGACCTGTTCTCTGACACGGAGTCGGCACTGGGTATCAGCACCCCAACGAAGAGATGGATGTCGGGCATGAGGAGAAGGCAATCGTCTGCCGAGACCTCGTCCGGACAAAGACCCTTTCAGCAGGTGCAATCCCACCCACATGAATTGGATTGGGAAAAGATGCTTAACCGAGCGGCGCAGACGGCCGAATGGAACAGCAGTATCTCGCATCGACCTAGGACCAGACCAGGCACGGGCAAGAGCTCAGAAAGCTCGCCTTCGTTGAGCAAGAGAGCTTCATCCAGTCGATCCTCGCTCTTGACGCCGCCCAGCCTCGGGCATGACGTCTTTACGGACTTTGTCACGACATCGATCAGTTCCTGCTGTAGTTCCGTCGACAGAGGCAGGGATTCCTTCACTTCGTTGCCGTATCAAGGGCTCCTTCGAGAAGATTGCGTCTTCGGAACCTCGGAAGCCAACGAGACGAACAATGCTTCCCAGAGTCCCTCAAACCGCAAAAGCCCAGGGAGATCCCACATCCGCAGACCAAGCCACGATCCGAATCCTTTGATGCCACTCTATATGCTAAAGGACCTTCCCACGGCTACAAGGGCAGCTCCTCCCCCGCCTCTCAGCGTTGACGAAAGACCTTTAAGGAAACGGCGGGAGGCTCCAAAGAGGCCTCCTCGATCCCAACTTCGGGATCTGAAATCCAACAACGCTTCTCGGCCTTGTGGGGAAGAGGATGGGCACCTCCGTGCGGATTCTCAGAGGGTATCTAGCCCCGCGAAGAAATCGTCTTCCGGGCCGTCACCGACTGTTCTGTCTTTCCAGCCAGGGTACGTTCGTGTTGGCAACGCTGAATCGCTCCAAGATGTTCACGTTCCTGCCGGCAGAGATAAGCGACTACCAGCTCTACCTACACTCTGCGAGACCAAGAATAGATCAGAAACAGGTACGAGACTATCAGGATGTTGGGAGGGCAAGGTCGACCGCAAGCAAAACGCCAAGACGCTTCATGGTCATCTGCCGAAAGAATCGAGCCCTGAAGAGGCCATCCTCTGCGCAGAGCTACCTGTCGAAGGCGACAGCCCTACCCCACACTCTGCACAGGACAGACCGATCCGATGGATAAGTGCAGAGAAGGGCATCGAATGGAAGAAGAAAACGAAAACCGAACTAAAGGTTCAGGTACCGAAGGTGAAAAGCAAGACCGTCGTGGAGAACGGACCGCATCCAGCCGCAAAACCAGCTTCGCCTTCGTCTCCTCCCTCCCCTTCTCCTCCGATGCCAACAGCAACCTTGACCGTGCCTGACCCTTTCCTCAGTTACTGCAAACCGGGCCGGAGCAAAGGCTTTGACGAGGTCGGTGATTTGCCAAGGGCAATGGAATCGACGTCCCTCTCCAATCTTGACCAACCGAGCCTATCAAGCTTCCTCATGTCGAGGTCTTACCTCCCTGATGCCCCTCGACCGATCAGCCTTGCCTCGACACTTTCGTTCGAGCACAGGGACGTTGCCCTGGGTGGTGGTGGGCGTATCGACTTGGACGCTCCAAGCGACTCTCCACTCAGGAGAGGATCCAAGCTCAGCGCCGGAAACGGCTCGGGTATACTTATTGGCGGTGGCATCGGGAGGCCATTGTCGTCTCTGAGTAGATTCTCAACCAGCTCCTCCATCTTGGCCACGATGGCAGAGTACCAAGGTGGCGAAATCACGACCGGAAGAGGGCCAGCTTGCTGATCGAAAAGGATCCAAGGGCCAAGCTCTCACTTCCTTTTTTTTTCAGATGTGAAACTTGAATCAGAGAAGGAGGGGAGAGGAGGAGGAACCTCGAAGAACGGAAGTGGTTGGAAGATCTTCAATACACCGTGTGGGCCCCCCCCCCCCCCCCCCCCCCTCTCTCCCTTCCTTTCCTCCGTGAGACTTGTAACTGTCACCCTACGTGACGACATCCGCGATGGGTTTCACACAGCATCGATCCCAACATGCTCTCTCTTCGCCTCGAATACCCAATGGTTGATCTTCCGTCCCTTACCTCGCCAAGGTGTGCTGCCCGAGCTGTGGATTCCGCTGCGATACGAACTCGAGTTTGACTAGTAAGAGATGTGGGTTGGTCCTCGGAAGACGGGAGATTGGAAAATCGAACACGTCCGGGAAAGGGGTTGACATTGATTGGCTGATGCAGGGTTCGAGATCCTTTCATGTACCCAAAAATCCCCCGTAGGTGATCGTCCTTAACGTGAGCTTAGCGTAGTGGTCTATCGTGTGAGCTTCAGGAGTCCCACCCTCCTCCGTTTGAGAGAGAGAGTGAGATGAACGCTCAAGGTCGAGGGTTCGACCCCCTCAGTTCACAAGGACTTTTTCTTCTTTTTGTTCCCCCCCAGTTTTGTTCGACAAACCGGCGAGGATTCGACACACACTTATTTTGAATGACTTTCTGGGTCTAAATGGGATTGTATACGCATAGGAGGGGGGGGAGAGGTGACATTATGGGCCAAGTTGCACTTTGGAGGGTTGGTAAAGAAGGAGAGGGGCCCAAGGGCCGCCGGGGGAGGGGGGGGGTATTTTCACCTCCCTGCAAAGCCCTTTTCCCCCCTCAACCCAACTTGAGACAGGAGCTACCCATCCCTTCACCTGCCCACTGAGCTACGACGGACAGCAATCTCCTCTTGTCCGATAGGCTGTCCTCGGATCTCAGCTCGTGCAAGGTGGACAGGTTGAAGATGAAGGATTCGTTCGAGGAGGCTGTGGAAGGGCTTTCCGAGAGGTGAGATTCCAGTATGCGGATGGGCTTTTGTTGTAATTGAATGTTTCCCAGGTCGGACAGGATAGGAGAGGGGGGTAGGGGGAGTTGGAAGAGGCGTTGTTGGACGAAGAAATGAGGATCAGCTTGGCAAGCTCGGTTTTCATCTTTCTTTCGTGGAAAGGTTGGAGACGGCGGATCAAAAGTCGAAAGTGTGACCCCCAACTCACCTCTTCAAGCTGACCCTGGTAGAAGATGGAGAGCGCAAGGTTGTTCAGAGTCGAACCCAGGGTATCGTTCATCGTCCCGAAATCGGTTTCCCCTCCATCTCCCGCCGCTTTCGTGGGTTGGAGACATTCCCTGAGGCACTCTTCCGCCTTTGCGAAGTCACCTCTGAAGACGTGGAGCAAGGCATCGTTCCTCAAGCCGAGCTCTCTTATCTCCTCGGCACTGACCATTTCGGTCGGACCAAGCCGTCTCGCCTTTTCGAAAAGCTCGCCAGCCAGTCCCAAGGAGCCCAGGTTGAGGTAGAGCCTTGCCAGGCTCGACAGGAGGTAGGGGTCCTTGGAAGAGGCCACCGAGGTGTCGGAGAGCAACGGCTCCAAGAGGTCTATGGCTGACGGGTAGTCTTTGGCCTCGACCAGCATCGCGGCCACCATGATGCCCACCCGAATCGCTCTGTCCTTCCAGATTCGCATCTGCCGTACCACCTCGCTTCGAGAACTTGCCGCATGCACCCCTTCTCCCGCCCCTCCGCCTTCCTCCACCCTCCGAAGAATCCTTTTCCACGTTCTGATCCAACCCTTGCAGTAGGCGATGAGTTCGGTGGAGGATTCGATTGCGGATCGGTGATCGCCACGGAATTTGGGCTCCCTGGCTTTGAGTACGCGGAGACTGAAGGGCACCAGCGGGGACTGGCTCAAGGTCTTTATCCTTGCTCGATGAGATCGAGCCGGATCACGCGTCCTCGTAGGTCTCCATCCACTCTCGCCTTTGGAGGAGGAGGCGGGGATCGATTCACCCAGACCACCTCCGGTCCCAGCAGCAGAAAAAGCGGTGCTCACCGTTCCTATCGTAGTGTCCCCATCCGCTTGCTCCTCAGGAAAGAAGGGCGCCTCCTCTGATTTGGACGCTTCCATGCCGTTCTCGTGATCCGGGAGGTCGGTACTCTCCAGAACGGACCAGAGCTCCACGAGCTCGGTCCTCATGAGCTTGTAGAGCCTAAGTCTGCAAAGCGAGTAGAGTCTCAGGTTCCACCACTCCAAGACCTGGACCAGTCCCACGGACGACGACGACGCCGAGGATTGCAAGATATTGCTCTTGGAGAGCAGAGCCAGCTTCCTCCAAGAGTTGGTGGAGATGGAGGATTGGATCGTGTCGTCCTCCGACCAGGAGGGTCTCGGGTTTCGTTGAGGCCTTAGGTGAGGTGGGATGTGCTTTTGCACTAGCTGACTGAGCGGATCCGTGGAAGGGAGCTCGGACATGAGCTGAGGATCGGCCAGGCGGGGAACGGGGAAGGAGGACGAGCGTGACTGATCATCGCTGCGCAGAAAAGTCGAGGAGATGCGGTTGGGCTCAAGGTAGGAGGTAGAGGCGAAAGACGGTGGCTCCGATGAGTGGGAGAGGTCGGCAAGGTGAGACGCGGCGCCGCTGTATCCATGCCCAAGGTGGGAGGGTGGGAGTTGCCCTTGATTCTGTTGGTGACGATAGTGAGGCGTCTGGCGGTGTTGGAGGTCGTCGTCCATCTCCGGTAGCGAGGTGTCTACCAGGTCACGCTGGTCCGAAATGTCCATCTCCATCGTACTCTTCCTTGAAGCGCTTGGCTTGTATCGCTTGCCTCCCGCACCTTCCCCTGACAAGGTTTAGCAAGGCTAGGCTTTGACTAGCTGGCTTTCGGAACCCCGCCCTCTCAAGAAATCTTTCTAGCCAGTCACTACTTGAGTCTTCCTGGCTGTGAGCCTCAGGATGTGCCTCTAGGAAGTAGACACCGACCAGCCCCTCTTCGATGTTCGTCGTCGGAGTCGATGGGTTGTTTTGAGGTCAAATCGAGATGGATGGATGGACCAGGTCGGTCGGGTGGATGCAAGGGATGACTGGTTTCCCTACCTGCTCCACCAAGGTAACTAACTCATTTGGCCATCTTTTTTTCTACCTGGATCCCCCCCCCCCACGTCACTACCTGTGTGTTCCAGGGAAAAGGGATCACTAAAACGCAATCAATGTTTTTGAATAGGTTGTCGTAGCGCAGAGGTAAGAGGTGTTGCGTGAAAGGGCAGGGAGCAACATATGGACCGTGCGCTATCCCAAGTGCGAGAAGTGGCTCAGCAAGTACAGATGAGGTGGTCGCGGTGATTACGGGTGTGAGGGGGGGAAGAGCAAACGAAAGCGGGGTTCGATCACATTCTGACCTTTGCCAGCCAAACGCGATATCGAGACTTGGAAACTCACCCGTTAAATAAAATCGAGGACGAGGACTCACGGTCTGTGACTTTCCACGAGGGAAGGCAGAGAGGGAAAGAGAAAAAGAAAGGTGGGCTCCACAAACTCTTCCGAAGAGCAACAGCAAGCTTGCCAGCAGTGATCCTGTCGTTGAAAGACGAAACCCTCTCACTCGCCTTTTCTTTTCATCCCACCCTTTCCGTCATTCTTCTTTTCTTCACCCTCAACCACCAACCAAATTTTAGTGACTTGCGCTTCATTCTAGCACACCTCTTTTCCGCTGGCCGGGTCTCGATCATACCCTTCTCACTATCACAGCCTTTGGAAGCCAGAAGATAAAAAGTAGGAAGGAGAGGAGAGGTACCTTTCAACCGAATTCAGCCCCCAAGCCAGTCAGTCGCTCGCTTCAGCTTTCGCCATCGCCATCGCCATCGCCATCGCTTTAGTCACTGTTCAAGCCCAGGAAAGGACGCCCCCGCTCCCTTGCTGCCGCCCGCTGACCGACTCGAGCTCTCCCCTTTCACTACCTCACGCGCTATTCCCCTTCCCCCTTCTTTCGATCGGTTTCCCTGCAACTGGTGGCGGACCACTTCAACCCCGACTGACCCTTCTCCCGTCCGATCTCGACTCGAGGTGCCAAGGTCTTTTCATATCTTGTCATGTCCTCCCAACCATCTCCAACACAGGCATCGCCACCAGCTCCAACTTTGGAGCAACAGGCGATCGCAGACCAAGGCTTCAAGCAGGTGCCTCTCCAGCTGGATACCAACACGGGGAACCTCTCGTCCCCCTCTGAAGATGTCAATCTTACCATCCTCAACGCACTGATCCGCTCCATGAAGTCCCTTCCACCCGGGGTACCTTTCCCACCCCCGCCCAACGTCGTCCCACCTCAGAGGAGCATGGCCATCAACCAGGCCAAGGAGCAAGGCAACGCCGCATTCAGGAATAAGGATTGGGCCGAGGCCATCAAGATGTACACTCTGGCGATCGACGTGGCGGCCTCGAGACCTCTCTGGGAGGCCAACCAGATCGCCAGGGATGAGCTCTCCCTCTGCCTCGCCAACCGGTCGGCCGCTTTTGCAGCGTGCGAGGATTGGATCGGCGCCCTCTGCGACGCCAAGGCCGTCACCAAGCTCAAGAAGCCTTGGTCCAAAGGTCACTACAGGCTGGGCAAAGCTCTTGTCGGACTCAAGAGGTACGGGGAAGCGAGGGAGGCCTTTGAGCTGGGCTTGCAGTTCGACCCTGACAACGCCGTGAGTCCAACTTTGCATCCTCTATCCGGCGAAGGACGTGGGCCTTCTCTCAGTCGAAGGACTGACATGTTTCGTTTTGTTTTTATTTTTCCGCTTTCCTGTACCCGCACTCACTCTCCTCCTCCTCGGTCCAACGCCGCCGCTCTGCCGCACAGGATCTGAAACAAGCGATCGCAGACATTCCGACGGGGCCAACCTACCTTTGATCGAGGAACTTTTTTTCCCCCTTCTGTTCCGTCCTTATCCCTCTCGTGTAGGTCAAGGGGTGGGGCATCGATCTCAGCGACTGACTGAGGGTATTCCTCTGCTACGTCGACCCTGTCCTTGCCTTCCCGGACCTCGTCTCGTAACAGCGAACCAGTCTCAATCAACCTGCATTCAGCAAAAGAACAGGTGCCGGAAGGATGAAGCATTTGTCCTGGGCCATTCTCACCCTTCCTATCCATCTGGTGAAAAGAAATCGGCACCGTCACGACGTACGGGAGTCTTTAGTTTGAGATAAAGAGGTGGAGAGGGAAGGTGGACGGGGATTGGATAGGAGGAGAAGGAACAGGAAAAGAGGGGAAGAAAAATGGGGAAGTATACATAGGATGGTGGTTGAGGTCAAATGAGTCGTAATGTACTTTACTAGATCCACAGAGGTTGACTTAGACACTTTTTTTTTTTTTTTTCGGAGGGAGGTTCAGATCGTCCATCGCCTTCTCTCTCGCGCTCGCTCTCGCTCTCGCGTTGGGCTCTTTTCTTTTCGTACCTGGTTCGATCAACTTCAGCATCTTTGCATCGCCAAAAAGAGTCAGGATCGGAAGTGAGGCTCGATGGAGACAACTTGGGACGAACATGACTTGATGTGCCGCTTGCACTAGTTCCGTACACACCGTGCCGCCCCCCCCCCCCCCCCCCCCCC